TAATTAGTGTATATCTGATCTAATGTAATGTAATCACCTTCCATAATACAATCAGATGTAATGTATTTAGTTAGTTGAGGACATAACAGTGTAGGGTGGATCCTAAACCTAATTACTTCTGAGTTATATAAAGAGGAGCACAGACACAGAGAGGTTTCCCCCAACACATGGGGAAAGACAGATGCCATGTGAGAATTCCAAGAACCAAGAAAGGCCTGGGGCTACTAACAAGGAAAGGATAGACACAGCTGAGGCCCTAATTTGGACTTTTAGCCTCTAGAACTGTGAAACAGATAAGTTGTGGGATGGCAGCAAGGACATCATACATGAAGAAAGGAAGAAGTCATTAAAAAGACAGGAAAGAAAGAAAAGACCAAAATGGATGTGAGAAGAGAGTTTGAAACTTGCTCTTGAATGTACAATAGCTGAAGTGAATGGAAGAAATGATGAAGTAAAAGAGCTGAACAGAAGGTTTCAAAGGGCAACTTTAGAAGACAAAGTAAAGTATTATAATGAAATGAGCAAAGACCTGGAGTTGGAAAACCAAAGAGGAAGAGCATGCTCTACATTTCTCAAACTGAACTGAAGAAAAAATCCAAGCCTCGAGTTGCAATATTGAAGAATTCTAGGAGCAAAATATTGAATGATGCAGGAAACATCGAAAGAAGATGGGAGGAATGTACAGTCATTATATCAAAAAGAATTGATCAGTGTTGAACCATTTCAGGAGGTAGCATATGATCAAGAACCAATGGTACTGAAGGAAGAAGTCCAAGCTGCACTGAAGGCATTGGCAAAAAACAAAGCTCCAGGAATTGACAGAATACCAATTGAGATGTTTCAGTAAACGGATGCAGCACTGGAGGTGTTCACTTGTCTATGCCAGGAAATTTGGAAGACAGCTACCTGGCCAACTGGCTGGAAGAGATCCGTATTTGTGCCCATTCCAAAGAAAGGTGATCCAACAGAATGTGGAAATTATCAAACAATATCATTAATACCACACGCAAGTAAAATTTTGCTGAAGATCATTCAAAAGCAGTACATCGACAGGGAACTGCCGGAAATTCAAGCTGGATTCAGAAGAGGATATGGAACCAGGGATATCATTGCTGATGTCGGATGGATCCTGGCTGAAAGTAGAGAATACCAGAAAGATGTTTACCTGTGTTTTATTGACTATGTAAAGGCATTTGACTGTGTGGATCATAACAAATTATGGATAACACTGTGAAGAATAGGAATTCCAGAACACTCAATTGTGCTAATGAGGAAGCTATACATAGATCAAGAGGCAGTTGTTCGAACAGAACAAGAGGATGCTGCATGGTTTAAAGTCAAGAAAGGTGTGGGTCAGTGTTGTATCCTTTCACCATACTTATTCAATCTGTATGCTGAGCAAATAATCCGAGAAGCTGGACTGTATGAAGAATGGGGCATCAGGATTGGAGGAAGACTCATTAACAATCTGCATTATGCGGATGACACAGTCTTGCTTGCTAAAAGTGAAGAGGACTTGATTGAAGTACTTACTGGTGAAGATCAAAGACTATGGCCTTCAATATGTATTACACCTCAACATAAAGAAAACAAAAATCCTCACAACTGGGCCAATAAGCAACATCATGATAAATGGAGAAGAGATTGAAGTTGTCAAGGATTTCATTTTACCTGGGGCCACAGTCAACACCCACGGAAGCAGCAGTCAAGAAATCAAATGATGCATTGTATTGGGCAAATCTGCTGCAAAAGACCTCTTTAAAGTGTTCAAAAGCAAAGGTGTCACTTTGAGGAGTAAGGTGCACCTGACCCAAACCATGATATTTTCAATTGCCTCATATGCATGCAACAGCTGGACAATGAATAAGGAAGACTGAAGAAGAATTGATGCCTTTGAATTGTGGTGTTAGTGAAGAATATTGAATATACCATGGATTGCCAGAAGAACGTACAAATCTGTCTTGGAAGAAGTACAGCCAGAATGCTGCTTAGAAATGAGGATGGCAAGACTTCATCTCATATACTTTGGACATATTATCAGGAGGAACCAGTCCCTGGAGAAAGTCATCATGCTCGGTAAGGTAAAGAGAGGGTCAGCTAAAAAGAGGAAGACCTTCAACGAGATGGATTGACCCAGTGGTTGCTAGAGTGGGCTCAAACAGCAATGACTGTGAGGGTGGCGCAGGACCGGGCAGTGTTTCATTCTGTTATACGTAGGCTAGCTATGAGTTGGAACCGACTCAACGGCACCTAACAACAACAGTAGCATTCTTCTGAGAGCAAGGATTCTTGGACTCTCTTTCAGTCGAGAATGTCAGTGTGACCCTCCCTTTGTTCCAGGGGATCTGTGTTCCCACCATGATTCTGTGAGCTGGTCCCAGACATTTGCTTGGCTTTTCTGTCAACCAAATATTCCAGAGTTCACAGCACGTGTCTTTGCAATAATGTGTTCCATTTGTAGTCTCATTCTCCAAGGCCTATTTCCAGCCCCACCTTTCCAAAAAGCCTTTGGAGGTTCCCAGTGGAATTCCTCACCCAGTCTACAACCTGCTGAGTAGGCTACTTGCTCCTTCAAGGCAATTTTCTTCCTCTTCCCTGCATCTGTGCTCTTGTTGAAGGACAAATCGTAGAGACGAAATCCGAGCTTTCGAAACCAAGGCTGACGTTCTCCTGAGGGACACGTGGCTGGGAATCAGGAAGGTCGTGCAGCCATGGGAGAAACCCAGGCTACCATCCTCTGACAGCCTCCATTTTGTGTAAATATTTTTGCTGACTCCAACTAATGTACAACATCTGAATGTAAACGTATGGATATTAAAATAGATTATATAGGAGAACACAAAATTCCACACATTTTTAAAGATAAAAGACTTCAAAGAAATTCTCTGCCTGTGGCAAACTCCTTTTTGGTTTGTACTTCGCCTCCTTGTGCAGGGGGAGGGTGCACGTTTTCAGTGACCAGCCTTTAGGGCTCAGGTGGTTATGTCTGAGGTGCACTAGACCACACAGCACCTGAAGCAGTTTTTCTGGAGAAAGAAATAAGAGTAGTGGTGTGTTGTCGTTAGTTGCTGTCGAGTTGTCTTCAACGCATGGTTGTTGTTGTTGTTAGGTGCCGTCAGGTCAGTTCCGACTCATAGTGACCCTATGCACTACAAAACGAAACCCTGCCCAGTCCTGCGTCATGCTCACAATCCTTGTTATGCTTGAGCCCATTGTTGCAGCCACTGTGTCAACCCATCTTGTTGAGGGTCTTCCTCTTTCTCGCTGGCCCTCTACTTTTCCAAGCATGATGTCCTTCTCCAGGGACTGATCCCTCCTGACATGTCCAAAGTACGTAAAACGTAGTCTTGCCATCCTTCCTTCCAAGGAGCATCAGCTCATCCTAACCTTATGGATTACAGAAAGAAACGTTGCCCAGCCCTACACCATCTTCATGCACCTGTAGCAGTTCTTCTGGAGGAAGAGCTAAGATAATATTGTTACTGTTGTGGTTAGTTGCTGTCGAGTTGGCTCCAGCTCATGGCGGCCGTAGGTCTAACAGAATGAAACGTTGCCTGGTCCTGTGCCTGGTCCTGTGCCGTCTTCATGATTGTTATTATGTTTGAGTCCATTGTTGCGGGTATTGTGTCAATCCATCTTATGGAGGATTTCCCTCGTGTTTGCTGACCCTCTACCGACTGTGATGTCCGGCTCCAGCAGTTGGTCTTTCCTGATGACATGTCCAAAATAAGCGGACCAGGCTTGTCATTCTCACTTCTAAAAAGCATTCTGGCTGTACTTCCTCGAGGACAGATTTGTTCATTCTTCCAGCAGCCCGTGGTATATTCAGCATTCTTCGTCCACACAATAATTCGAATACGTCGGTTCTTCTGTCTTCCTTTTTCACTGTCCAGTTTTCGCGTGCATGTGGGGCGATTGAAAAAAACCATGGCTTGGGTCAGGTGCGTCTGAGTCATAGACGTAGATACTGAAATGAAATACTTAGTTGAGTGGATGCATGGAATGAATGAAGTCATGCATCTAGAATTTTCTGAGCCCCTTGGGTGCCAGGAGCTTCCCTGGAGAAGCTCATGTGCTAGTAGGAGAAGCTGTGTGATGCATACGAGGATGGGGAAGAGTGTGGAAGGAAGGAACCTCAGAGAAGACAGCAGCAAACACCCGCGGAAGTGAGGACGCATTGAAGGGGCTTTGGAGACTAGAGACCCAAGGACAAGTAGGGGATGTCCAGGAAGGCAAGGATGTGGGGCGGGGGTAGGATTTCAGTCACAGGGAAGAGCACAAAGTCATTTAGACACAAAAGGCGTGGTGTGTAAGGAACAGCGAGCTATTAGGAATGGCAAATGTCCCAGGTGTGGGGTAGGGGCCAGAAGAAGAACCAACCAGACCTTTCTGGATGTACCTTAGCTGGGTGGAAGGTAGGAGTTGGAAGGGGTTCGTAGTCCATGTTAAGAAGTGGGGAGCCATTGAAAGATTTGGAGCTGGATAGCAGGTGAATACATTTACCTTTGGAATGATAAATATGGAGTCAAGGACAACTGGGCTGCAGCAGCCCCATGGAGTCTTTATAAGCTGAGGTGCCCTTGCTGTCGGAAGGAGATTTCTAGTGCTTTGGTTTTAAACATTTGAGACATTTCTCAGAATCCTGAATTAACGACTGACTGCTGTAGGAAGGAGGCCCCGGGGCGGGAGGGCGAAACCGATTACGTGCTTCACTGCCAACCAAAAGGTTGGGGATTCAGATCCACCCAGAAGCACCTCTGAAGAAAGGCCTGGCGATCTGCTTCCAAAAAGTGACAGCCTTGAAAACCCTAGGGAGCACTCTTCGACTCTGCAACACATGGAGTCGCCATGAGTCGAAATTGACTCCACGACGCCTGGTTTGGTTTGGTTTCTTTGCTGCAGGAAACCTGAAGGGAAGCTAGTTTGTAAGTGGTATACTGTCTTTCCTCCACTTGCTCTGCATTTAATCCTCTCTGCCTTTTGGCTTGGCCCCTCCCCAGGTCCGAGGAGAACTGCTCCGGGAGAGAGTGCAGCAGCTCGAGGCCCAGGAGCAGCGGTTCGCCGAGTCCATCGTGTCCCTGCAGTTCCAGAAGGCAGCCAAGACCACCGAGACACTGTCGGCCTACACCGCCCTCCTCAGCATCCAGGACCTGCTGCTGGAGGAGCTGAGTGAGTCTGAGACCCTGACCAGGTCAGCCTGCACCCAGATCCTGGAGTCACACACCCCGGTGAGTGCGGATGGTGGGAAGGGAGAGGCCGAGCCCTGGCCACCACCAACCCATGGGGGCTTCCTGGGCCCCACCTCGCTCCTCCCATGGCCACATGGGCCTGCTGGCAACCCCTGTCCTGCTATGCTGTAAGGCTGTTGGGAGGGTTCAATGAGAGTAACAGGAAGCACCTCGCACTTTCTCCATCGAAGGCCTATATTTCATTGACTCTAAGGAGCAAACACAGTCCCTGGGTGGTGCAAATAGTTAACGTGCTTGGCTGCTAACTGAAAGGTTTGAGGTTCGAGTTCACCCAGAGGTGCCTCAAAGGAAAGGCCTGGTGATCTACTTCCAAGAAATCAACCATGAAAACCCCTGAAGAAAAGTTGTACTCTGATACACGTGGGGTCGTCAGGAGTCAGGGTCCACTCCGTGGCATCTGGTTAAGAAGCATACTTTTTGAATTTTAACGTCTCTGAAACAGGGACGCATCTCACAATCACCAGCATGTCATAGTTTTAAGTGGCATATACCAATGATCATGAAGATGGTGCGGGACTGGGCAACTTTTCATTATGTTATACTGAATGGCGCAAGTGGGAGCAGACGCTATGGCAATTAACATGCAACTAACAGAAGCAGCAACATTGTTTCTTTCATAGCTTTAGGAAGAATAGCACTATTGTTGGACTGTTGTTAGTTGCTGTCCTGTAGGCTCCAAATTATGGTGACCTGTGTACAAGGGAACCAAACGTGGATGAGTCCTGCACCATCTTTATGATCACTGTATGTTAGAGTCTGTTGTTACAGCTGTTGTATCAATCATCTCATTGAGGGTTTCCATCATTTTCACTGACTCTGCTTTACCAAATCATCTTCCAATTTTATTTTTTCTATTATATGCCACTGATCTTTCAATTAATGGCATCTTAAAAGAAAAAAAAAACCTGTTCCTGTTGAGTCACCTACAACTCATGACAACCCGTGTGTGCCAGAGTAGAATTCAATGAAATATGGGATTATTTTATATTTCTGTCACTATAATTACGTGCCCTGGTGGCACAGTGGTTAAGTGCTTGGATGCTAACCAAAAGGTTGGTGGTTCGAAACCACCAGCCACCCCATGGGAGAAAGATGTGTCAGTCGGCTTTCGTAACGATTACCAAAACAAAAACAAAAAAACCCAAACCCCGTGCTGCCGAGTAGATTCTGACTCATAGTGACCCTATAGGACAGAGTAGAACTGCCCCATAGGGCTTCCAAGGAGAAGCTGGTGGATTTGAACTGCCAACTTTTTGGTTAGCAACCATAGTTCTTAACCACTGCGCCACAGGGCTCTTCCATAAAGATTTCAGCCTTGGAAACCCTGTGGGGCGGTTGTGTTCTGTCCTGTGGGGTGGATGCGAGTCAGAATTGACTCGATGGCAGCGGGCTTAGCTTCATCACTGTGATTATTGCCATTATTCCTTGTTAGTTGCTGTCAAGTTGACTCTGACTCATGGCGACCCTGTGTGCAGAGTAGAACTACTCCGGAAGGTGTTCAGAGCCGTGACCTTTCAGAAGCAGATGGCTGGTCCTATCTTCTGAGGAACCTCTGAGTGGGTTTGAACCACCAACCTTCTGGCTGGTAGTCGAGCACGTAACCATTTTCACTACCGAGGAAGCCTACCAGTATTCCTATGGGCTGCATTTTTCAAGGTGTGAGTGACATATCCATGAAACAAAAGCTATGGCAATTGCTGTTTTGAGGACTAATTTTAAGTCTCTTATGTGTCGATTTTAGAAATTCTTATATTCCTTATTGTTATAATAATTGATAGCAAGGAAAAAGGAGCTCGCGCTTGTTGAATACCTAGTATGTGGTAGGCAGGCACTAATAATTTGTGAATGGACATGATCTCATTTAAGCATTAAGAATTCTTTTGTTAATTATGCTTAAGATGCTTTAAGCATGATTAATAATAGGTTGCAATTTTATGCTACTTTACAATTATGCTTTTTGTTACGAATTTTATCAGCTAATTATTGAACCATGCCACGAAGAAGGTACTGTTATTATGCGCAATTCTCAGGTGAAAAAATCGAGATTCAGGCTGGTCAAGCTCTTGGTCAGGATCACTCGGCTGATAAATGACAGGAAGCAGAAACTAAATCTGTTTCTGAGTTCAACCCACTGTGTCACGTTCATGGACTGTACCAGTTGAGGTTGCCAAGGAGGATTCACTTAATTTCTTTAAAAAGTAGTAAATAATAGTAGACTCTGAAGAATACAAGACTATTTTTCTCACAAACGCTGTGCGCCCTACACTGTGACAACTATTTTAGTGCAAAAAGGAAGTAGAAGTGTGTTGAGGGCAGTGGTGGTTCAGTGGTAAAATTCTTGCCTTCCACGCGGGAGACCCAGGTTCGATTCCTGGCCAAGGCACCTCATGCGCAGCCACCACCTCTCTGTCAGTGGAGGCTTGCATGTTGCTATGATGCAGAACAGTCTTCAGCAGAGCTTCCAGACTAAGACAGGCTAGGAAGAAAGGCCTAGCAGTTTACTTGCAAAAATCAGCCCAGGAAAACCCTATGGATCACAATGGTCCAATCCTGTTGTGCATGGGGCCACCAACAGAAGCACTGTAGGTATTTTAACATGAAACGTCCAGATGCTGGATAAATACGAATACACATACTTATTAATGCTTTGCTGAGTTCACAAGAGAATATGGAAAATCCCAAAGGGCCAAAGATATCCCAAAGTAAGCTGAAATCACAGAGCTGAAAGCAATTTCAAGAGCTAATTCTACCATAGGAGCAATGGCTAAAATCATGAACCCATGGATTTGGAATTAATTTGGGAGGAATAGGAGATGGGGCCTGAGGATGCCCTAATGCAGTGGAATATGCAGTGAGGGGTGAGAGGACAAGGCCACCCGCTGGCCAAAGAAAGTGTCAAAGAAACCCTTCTGTCTCCACCCCTCTTGCAGGTATCCGGGGACAGGTCTCCTGTGAATTTGTAATCACAGACCTCTCTGATGTGGGGAAGGAGTTCAAATGTATTAGACGTTCAGTCAGGGAATCTCCAACTGATGACAATAAGGAGCCCTGGTGGCGCAGTGGTTAAAGCGTTTGGCTGCTAACCGAAAGTCGGTAGTTTGAACCCACCAGTGGTTCCTCGGCAGAAAGATGTGGCAGTCTGCTCCCGTAAAGATTACAGCCTTAGGAAACCCTACAGGGGCACTTCTACTCTGTCCTATAGGGTCGTTATGAGTCGGAATTGATTGGATGGCAATGGGATGGGGATGATAGTTCCAGTTTAGCAGCCTGCCCGGGGCATGGCAGAAGCAAAGCCAGATCTTCTCCAGAGAAAAATATTCTCAATCTGGGAACCTCAGGATTTTCACAGATTAAGTTCAGCCAAATATGAGTTGAGTTCTTGATTAAAAAAAAAAAATCATTAAACACACAGGTAAGCAAGGCAAGATGACCCATACACAGTAGAAACAAAAGAATAAGGGATTAAGGTTCACAAAGGTTTAAGATACCCAAATTATCAGTACAGAGTATAAAATAATGGTTTATGAAATTATTAAAGAGATGAAAGACAATACACAAATAGTAAGAAGCTTAATTCACCTGGAGAATTTTCTAAGCGTGCGTATACTTAATAAAAGACAACATAGCCAAAGGGAAAATGGATAGGACAACAAGGAGAAATGAATAAATCTAGCATCGACGTGTCGACTGATACTCCGTCAGTTCCTGGAGCCTCGTTTTCAGCCAGGGCCTTCAGTGCAGCTTGGACTTCTTCCTTCAGCACCGTCGGTTGTTTCCACAAACTGATGCAGCCCTGGAAGTGCTCACTCTCCTATGCCAAGAAATTTGGAAAACAGCAGCTACCTGCCCAACTGACTGACTGGAAGAGATCTGTATTTATGCCTATTCCCAAGAAAGGTGATCCAACAGAATGTGGAAATTATAGAATAATATCATTAATATCACAGACAAGTAAAATTTTGCTGAAGATCATGCAGCAGTGTATTGACAGGGAACTACCAGAAATTCAAGCTGGATTCAGAAGAGGACGTGGAATAAGGGAGATCATTGCTGATGTCAGATGGATCCTGGCTGAAAGCAGAGAATACCAGAAAGATGTTTACCTGTGTTTTATCGACTATGCAAAGGCATTCGAGAGTGTGGATCATAACAAATTATGGATAACATTGTGAAGAATGGGAATTCCAGAACACTTAATCGTGCTCTTGAGAAACCTGTATGTAGATCAAGAGGCAGTTGTTCCAACAGAGCAAGAGGATACTGTGTGGTTTAAAGTTAGGAAAGGCATGCGTCAGGGTTGTATCCTTTCACCATATTTATTCAGTCTGTATGCTGAGCAAATAATCCAAGAAGCTGTACTACATAAGGAAGAATGGGGCATCAGGATTAGAGGAAGGCTCATTAACAACCTGTGATACGCAGATGACACAACCTTGCTTGCTGAAAGTGAAGAGGACTTGAAGCACTTCCTGAAGAAGATCAAAAACTACAGCCTTCAGTATGGATTACACCTCAACATAAAGAAAACACAAATCCTCACAACTGGACCAATAAGCAACATTATGGTAAACAGAGAAAATATTGAAATTGTAAAGGATTTCATTTTACTTGGAACCATAATCAACGTCCATGGAAGCAGCTGTCAAGAAATCAAACGACGCATTGGGCAAATCTGCTGCGAAAGACATCTTTAAAGTGTTAAAAAGCAAAGATATCACTTTAAGGACTAACATGTCTCTGACCCAAGCCATGGTGTTTTCAGTTGCCTCATATACATGTGAAAGCTGGACAATGAATAAGGAAGCCCAAAGAAGAATTGATGCCTTTGAATTGTGGTATTGGCAAAGAATATTGAATATACTATGGACTGCCAGAAGAATGAGCAAATCTATATTGGAAGAAGCACAGCCAGAATGCTCATTGGAAGTTAGGATGGTGAGACTTCGTCTCACATACTTTGGACATGTTATCAGGAGGGA